ATCAAATGTATTTATAAAGCCCTTTTTACATCAGCAGATGTCACAAAGTGCTATACAGAAACCCAGACTAAAAACCCCCAAAGAGCAAGCACGATGGCTAGGGAAAAAATCCATAGAAAGGCAGGAACCTAGGAAGAAACCAAGAGAGGAACCAGGCTCTGAGGGGTGGCCAGTCCTCTTCTGGCTGTGCCGGGTGGAGATAGTGCAAATGTAAAAAGCACGGTGGCTAGGAAAAAAACCCTAACGTCTGTGCAGCATGAGAGGTATAGCAAAGAATTAGGAAGTGGACCAGGCTCGTTACCCTTGGCGGCGGGGCTGCGCTGATACAGACTTGATCCTCTCAATCACGTCAGACACGTAACAAAAATTCTAGTACCGAACATTATTTTTGTTTTGTTGAGAAAGGGTTTTTCTTTATTTTTACTATTTTCTACATTGTAGAATAATAGTGAAGACATCAAAACTATGAAATAACACATATGGAATCATGTAGTAACCAAAAAAGTGTTAAACAAATCAAAATATATTTTATATTTGAGATTCTTCAAATAGCCACCCTTTGCCTTGATGACAGCTTTGTACAATCTTGGCATTCTCTCAACCAGCTTCATGAGGTAATCACCTGGAATGCATTTCAATTAACAGGTGTGCCTTGTTAAAAGTTAATTTGTGGAATTTATTTCCTTCTTAATGCGTTTGAGCCAATCAGTTGTGTTATGACAAGGTAGGGTGGGTATACAGAAGATAGCCGTATTTGGTAAAAGACCAAGTCCATATTATGGCAAGAACAGCTCAAATAAGCAAAGAGAAACGACAGTCCATCATTACTTTAAGACATGAAGGTCAGTCAATACGGACAATTCCAAGAACTTTGAAAGAAAAAACCATCAAGCGTTATGATGAAACTGGCTCTCATGAGGACCACCACAGGAAAGGAAGACCCAGAGTTACCTCTGCTGCAGAGGATAAATTCATTAGAGTTTCCAGCCTCAGAAATTGCAGCACAAATAAATGCTTCACGGAGTTCAAGTAACAGACACATCTCAACATCAACTGTTCAGAGGAGACTGTGTGAATCAGGCCTTTGTGGTCGAATTGCTTCAAAGAACCCACTACGAAAGGACACCAATAAGAAGAAGAGACTTGCTTGAGCCAAGAAACACGAGCAATGGACATTAGACCGGTGGAAATTTGTTGTTTAGTCTGATGAGTCCAAATTTGAGATTTCTGGTTCCAAATGCTGTGTCTTTGTAAGACGCAGAGTAGGTGAACAGATGTGTGGTTCCCACCGTGAAGCATGGAGGAGGAGGTGTGATGGTGCTTTGCTGGTGACATTGTCTGTGATTTATTTAGAATTCAAGGCACACTTAACCAGCATGGCTACCACAGCATTATGTAGTGATACGCCATCCCATCTGGTTTGCGCTTAGTGGGACTATCATTTGTTTTTCAACAGGACAATGACCCAACACACCTCCAGGCTGTGTAAGGGCTATTTGACCAAGTAGGAGAGTGATGGAGTGCTGCATCAGATGACCTGGCCTCCACAATCACCCGACCTCAACCCAATTGAGATGGTTTGGGATGAGTTGGACCGCAGAGTGAAGGAAAAGCAGCCAATAAGTGCTCAGCATATGTGGGAACTCCTTCAAGACTGTTGGAAAAGCATTCCAGGGGAAGCTGGTTGAGAGAATGCCAAGAGTGTGCAAAGCTGTCATCAAGGCAAAGGGTGGCTATTTGAAAAATGACAAATAGAAAATAGAAAAATAAAAAATAAAAACTTGAATGAGTGGGTGTGTCTAGGTACTGTATACGTATTTTGTATTTTTTTATTCAGATTTTTCAGGGTGTGCTGCAGAACCCTCAGCACCCCTACTTCCCACGGTTATGCATGGGCGACTGTGCTGACCTGCACTCCTACTTCAACCGCTGCCAGTACATCAGAGTGGAGAGCGGCTGCTTCATGATCTACGATCGTCCCAACTACATGGGCCACCAGTACTTCCTGAGGAGGGGAGAGTACTCCGACTACCAGCGTATGATGGGCATGAACGACTGTGTCAGGTCCTGCCGCATGATCCCCATGGTATGGAGTTTGATACCAGAACATGAGTAGGCCTGTACACCGGTAATCTTGTGCTATGTATTGGTAATTCTATAAAACGGTACTGGACTGGGGTGGCATGAGCCCCAGGATCGGTTCCATCAAGCATCTCATGGACTTCTAATGAAAAGGACCTATTAAGAAAAGGACCTTCAATGACAAACCAATCCTGATCAAGTGTCTCCTGTACGCCTTTTTTCACACAATAAATTGGTATCAGTAATCCTAATGTCCTTGATGGTTTTTCCTAGATGCTTAGGTAGTGCTATTGTTAACTTTCTCAATTACATAACACTGACATGATGCTGCCTCTGTGACTGACTGGCATTCATATCTGGTCCCCTGCGCACCACAATAATGTGTTTGCCCACTGAGCTAAAGCCTAGGCTTTAGTTTGTGGAGCTAACGCAAGTCTTCAGGTCTCCGACAAGGTTACTAATCACGTAAGCGTTCACTGACATGCGGTATAACATTGACTTTTAAATTCCAGATCAATTTGAAAATTAAGTATTTCCTCTCAAAGTGAATTACCACAGTTTTTTACTTCTTTTTTTTCTTACTAATGACATCATGGCAATATTGTTGGCCATTATGTACGTAAACATGAAATATGATTACATATATGCATATTCATATGGCCAGAGATTTTGTTTGCCCACAGAACACAGATCTTTAAGTATAGAAAATAACAACGGGGCCAAACAACCGTTCATTACATAATTACGGTAACATCAGCGTTTTCAGAGTGCATCCCTACATCTAGAAATAAGAAACATATTCTGTGGCTCACTTGAAAGTCTCACGGATTCAATCCAAGAAGGGTATTTTATATGCTGATACATATGCATAATTGTGCATAAAAGGACACAATTGAAACGGACAGTGTTGGTGAATGACAATGATATGCTAAATGTCTCATTGATTTGTTTTGCTGATGCTAAACCCAGCCATGCCCCGGGTCTCCAGTATACAGTAGTGTTTTCTGTCAATAGTGATGAACATGTGAAAACTGGCCAACAACAATAACTCATCACACAGTAAGGCATGGCTATATATAAACAGATTTGTGTGCTAACTCCAGATCATTATTTGAATGACAATACTTTATGCTGCGCAATCACACAGCTGCTTTTTATAAAAGGACAGAGGCACAGAGAGAGTGACCATTGAGTGTCTATCTGCCCCACACACAACCATGACAATGGGAAAGGTAAGCCAGACGTCCACTTGCATTCATATTACTATAAGGCAGTTTTATAGTATAACGGGGAAAAAACATCAAACATTTACTTTTATCCACCATATAATGATCACGAAATGGAAAATAATATATCAGTAGATGTAAGATAAAAAAAGTTTTTTTTTAAAACAATGACCAAATTATGCTTTAAAATGTCTACACTCCCCTTTGCAGATCATCTTCTATGAGGACAGGAACTTCCAGGGTCGGCACCATGAGTGCATGAGCGACTGTGCCGACCTGCACTCCTACTTCAACCGCTGCAACTCCATCAAGGTGGAGAGTGGCATGTTCATGGTCTACGAGAGGCCCAACTACACTGGCCACCAGTACTTCCTGAGGAGGGGAGAATACAATGACAACCAGCGCATGATTGGCATCAATGACTGTATCAGGTCCTGCCGCATGATCCCCATGGTAAACCCAGTGTAGACGCCTCAAACACAGGGCTACGCTCACATTGCAATGTGTTTTTATAGAAGAGCACCAATTAAAACTTATTGAACTTGGTAAAGGTGTTCCTCAAGGCTCAGTTTTGGGCCCTACTTCTTTTGCTATATTGTCTCGTTAATGATTGACCACTAATATGTCCATCATTTTCATCTAAAAACCCTTTCATCTAAATGTCCTTGTCCTGTAGCACCGCGGCTCCTACAGGATGAGGTTGTACGATCGCCCCGACATGAGTGGCCAGATGCAGGAGCTGAACGACGACTGTCCCAATGTCCAGGACCGCTTCCGCATGTCCGACATCAACTCCTGCAACGTGATGGACGGCCATTGGCTCATGTACGACCAGCCCAACTATAAGGGCAGACAGTACTACCTGAAGCCTGGTGAGTACCGCAGACCCAGCGACTGGGGTGGCCTGAGCCCCAGGATCGGATCCCTCAGAAGAATCACTGAGTCCAACAACTAAAAGTTCTCAATAAATCTGCATGTTCAACCAAACATTATGTGTCTCTTTCTGTCAAACGGTGAACAGGGGCATCTAGATTCATCCACAGAACACAGAGTGATTTGTATTCAATATTGAGTATTACAGTATCATGCTCTTTAATGGCATTGTATAACAATAAATCTACACATATGCATGGTAGAGGAGGCTGGTAGGAGGAGCTATAGGAGGACAGGCTCATTATAATGGCTGGAATGGAATCAATGGAACGGAGTTAAACACATTGTTTCCATGTGTTTGGTACCATTCCATTGATTTCATTCCAGCCATTACAACATGGAAGACGGTTCATAAATACAATGTAAACATTATCAGATGCACCTTTTCATGTTGTAATGTTGCAACATAATCAATTCCCTTTCTGTAACTCAAGTTCTTCAATCAATAGTGCTGAGTATGAGTTGCCCAGACGTTTCCCTATTGTATCAAGAATGAAAATATTAGCAAATTCTGCTGAGTACAGATGTAGGATCTTAACTTGAGCCAGTTTGGTACAGCAGGAAAATAATCCTGCAGCAACAGGAAATGTGAATTATCATGTGGATTATAATTAATTAACATTTTTGTGGGAGTTGATAAATTTTTCGTAATTTCAAAGTGGAAATGACAAACTTCAGAAGCCTTTTTGAAACCTTAACTACACTACAAGTTCGAAATTTCCTGCGTTGCAGGAAAGTTCTCCTGAAACAGGGTGATCAAATTAAGATCCTACATCTGTAACACATTACACAAATGTGAGTGCAAAGCAAAATATGTAGGGTCTTCACGTCATATAATTCTCAGATTGTTGCAAACAGCCTGTATTCGTATGAATGGTGCTCTCGTACACAAAAGATGGCAACCAATAAATACAAGCATTTGATGTGAGGTATTTAGGGTAGCAACCTATTCTAGGTCGATTGGTGTTGTTTCACTCCACAGTTTCACTCCGTTTAAACCATGGTAATATGGGTGTTAATTCATGGTAAAAACGTTTTTAAAGTTCAACCAACCTAACAGAAACATTTGCATATTCATTATGTCTCTGGGGGTTTAAAATACAAAAGGCAGGAGAAAAAAAGGCGGCTAGTGTGGATGGATTTATTTCAACATGATTTCCCACGGTCATTCATTCAACAGTCGTACATTCAGCTTCTTACATAGTAATACGTCTGATGGAGCCCACCCTGGCGCTCATGCTTCCCCACTCATTGTATCTCCTGTACTCTCCAGGGGTCAGCAGGTACTGGCGCCCCCTGTAGTTGGGGTGCTCATAGAAAAGCCAGGAGCCCTCCATCAGGTTGCAGGAGTAGATATCGTTGTAATGGAAGCGCTCGTAGAGGTTGGGGCAGTCGTCCGTCAATTCCATCATCTGTCCTCTGAACTCAGAGCGCTCGAAGATTCTCATACGGTGAGATCCCTGATGCTGTGGAGACAGAGAGGAACGTTATTGGGATGATAATCATGTCTAGCCTATCTCAGAAAACATTCGTACTATTTAGCAGTAGAATACGTCCAACAGAGTCAGTGGAGGCTGGTGGAGGGAGAAATGGGGAGGATAATGAGCCTGTCCTCCCCATTTCTCCCTCCACCAGCCTCCGCTGCTCAGAGTCCAGCAGTTGATTTCATGGGATCAAACTACAAAGGCCCAAAAGGCCCTGTAATACTTTAGAGTCCCTCCAATACTTCAGAGTTAACGGTATCTCTTTAACCTCTTCCTTAATCTGTCGCTTACCTGGGGGATCATGCGGCAGGACCTGACACAGTCATTGAAGCCCATCCAACGCTGGTAGTCGGAGAACTCGCCTTCCTTCAGGAAGTACTGATAGCCCATGTAGCTGGGCCTCTCGTACACCATCCAGTTGCCGCTCTCCACCCTGATGGAGTTGCAGCGGCTGAAGTGGGCATGGAGGTCAGAGCATTCTCCACCGCACTCATAAGAGTGACCCTGGAAGTTCCTGTCTTCATAGAAAATTATCTAAAAACAGATCAGTTGAGGTGTTTTTTTAGTGTAACACCAGATATCTTCCCCAGCAGTGAGCCCCAGGATTTAGAATTATTTAGAATTATTGTGCAGACAAAAATTCCTGATAAGAGGCACACATTACCTTTCATTAATCTCATCCCCTTTTATTGATTTTGAATAATCATTCATTCATTATAATAATATTGAATAATCTATGGAGGAATGCAGGGGCACCACATATGCATAGCATAAAAAACAGCCTTACCTTCCCCATTGTGAAGGTTAACTTTGGTCTCACTGGCACTCAGCACGGATCGGGATGTGCTCTCTTTATAATCCATGGACAAACTGCAGTATTGTCATGTAAATGGTTTGACTTTTAACACGTCAGCGTTTTTTTTTCGGGAGAATGCTGTGAACACTGCAATGTATTTTTGTCTTTGGTGGTCAACAAAGTAAGTATTTTTTCCTTTTCAAGAAAGGCTTCTTATGTTAGGATGATTGTAATCATAAAATGTATTGTAGATGAGTGATCATCTCTTGATGATTAGAACTATGTTGTTTTAGACTAGATTGTGGTTTGATTGGGATACACAATTCTATTTCTATGTGAAGAAATTAAACTGAGTAAGCTGGTATAGAAATGGCAGACCAATCTGAGTAATACATGTGTCCAGTTTTGTGTACCAATCCAGGTTAAAACATTTTAGTAGTGGAAATTATGTTTTCCTGCATGTACCCCATCACATTTTATAGAAAACAAAGTACACAGTACATTTTGGGGGGAGTTCTTTATTGAACTTTTAGAAATGGAAATAACTCCATGTCACCAATCTTCGTCTTGGCTCTGTGAAACTTAAATCCGTTCTACCTAATTTCTACCAGCATGTTAAATGTGCAACCAGAGGGAAAAAAACTCTAGACCACCTTTACTCCACACACAGAGACGCTTACAAAGCTCTCCCTGTCACGATCGTCTAAGGAGGGAGAGGACCAAGGCGCAGCGTTGAAAGCAAACATATTTATTTTATTCAAGATCACACGATCAAAACAACGAAACGTGACGTCCTTGGTTACAAAAACAAACCAACACGGAACAAGAAACCACAACACAAAGTGAAAAGACCGATAGTTAAATATGGCTCCCAATCAGAGACAACCAGCTGTCACTCGTTGCCTCTGATTGGGAGTCACTCAGCCCAACATAGAAAATCAAACATAGAATACACACCCTGGCTCAACATAACATTGTCCCCAGAGCCAGGGCGTGACACTCCCTCGCCCTCCATTTGGCAAATCTGACCATAACTCTATCCTCCTGATTCCTGCTTACAAGCAAAAACTAAAGCAGGAAGCACCAGTGACTCGGTCAATAAAGAAGTGGTCAGATGACGCAGAAGCTAAGCTACAGGACTGTTTTGCTAACACAGACTTGAATATGTTCCGGGAATTTTCCAATGGCATTGAATAAGCGCATCGATGACGTCATCCCCACAGTGACCGTACGTACATACCCCAACCAGAAGCCATGGATTACAGGCAACATCCGCACTGAGCTAAAGGGTAGAGCTGCCTCTTTTAAGGAGCAGGACTCTAACCCGGACGCTTATAAGAAATCCCCCTATGCCCTCCGACGAACCATCAAACAGGCAAAGCGTCAATACAGGACTAAGATTGAATCGTACTACACCGACGCTCGTCGGATGTGGCAGGGCTTGCAAACTATTACAGACTACAAAGAGAAGCACAGCCGCGAGCTGCCCAGTGACACAAGCCTACCAGACGAGCTAAATCACTTCTATGCTCGCTTCGAGGCAAGCAACACTGAAGCATGCATGAGAGCATCAGCTGTTCCAGACGACTGTGTGATCACGCTCTCCATAGCCGATGTGAGTAAGACCTTTAAACAGGTCAACATTCACAAGGCCGCAGTGCCAGACGGATTACCAGGACATGTACTCTGAGCATGCGCTGACCAACTGGCAAGTGTCTTCAATAACATTTTCAACCTGTCCCTGACTGAGTCTGTAATACCAACATGTTTCAAGCAATCTATATTGCACTCCACACTCCCTTTCCCACCTGGACAAAAGGAACACCTACGTGAGAATGCTATTCATTGACTACAGCTCAGCATTCAACACCATAGTGCCCTCAAAGCTCATCACTAAGTTAAGGACCCCGGACTAAACATCTCCCTCTGCAACTGGATCCTGGACTTCCTGACGGGCCGCCCCCAGGTGGTAAGGGTAGGTAACAACACATCTGCCACGCTGATCCTCAACACGGGGGCCCCTCAGGGGTGCGTGCTCAGTCCACTCCTGTACTGCCTGTTCACCCATGACTGCATGACCAGGCACGACTCCAACACCATCACTAAGTTTTCCGACAACACAACAGTGGTAGGCCTGATCACCGACAACGATGAGACAGCCTATAGGGATAACAACCTCTCCCTAAATGTGACCAAGACAAAGGAGATGATTGTGGACTACAGGGAAAAAAAGAGGACTGAGCACACCCCCATTCTCATCGACGGGGCTGTTGTGGAACAGGTTGAGAGCTTCAAGTTCCTTGGTGTCCACATCACCAATGAACTATCATGGTCCAAACACACCAAGACAGTCGTGAAGAGGGCACGACAAAGCCTATTCCCCCTCAGGAGACTAAAAAGATTTGGCATGGGTCCTCAGATCCTCAAAAAGTTATACAGCTGCACCATCGAGAGCATCCTGACTGGTTGCATCACCGCCTGGTATGGCAACTGCTCGGCCTCCGACCGCAAGGCACTACAGAGCGTAGTGCGTACGGCCCAGTACATCACTGGGGCCAAGCTTCATGCCATCCAGGACCTCTATACTAGGCGGTGTCTGAGGAAGGCCCTCAAAATTCTCAAAGACTCCAGCCACCCTAGTCATAGACTGTTCTCTCTGCTACCGCCAAGTCTAGGTCCAAAAGGATTCTCAACAGCTTCTACCCCCAAGCCATAAGACTCCTGAACAGCTAATCATGGCTACCCAGACTATTTGCACTGCCCCCCCACCCCCACCCCATCTTTTTACGCTGCTGCTACTCTGTTAATTATTTATGCATAGTCACTTTAACTCTACCCACATGTACATATTACCTCAACTAGCCTGTGCCCCTGCACATTGACTCTGCACCGGTACCCCCCTGTATATAGCCTCCCTACTGTTATTTAATTTGACTTCTGCTCTTTTTTTCTCAACACTTTTTTGTTGTTGTTGTTTTATTTTACTTTTTTATTAAAAAATAATTGCATTGTTGGTTAAGGGCTGTAAGTAAGCATTTCACGGTAATGTCTACACCTGTTGTATTCGGCGCATGTGGCAAATACAATTTGATTTGATTTGATTTGAAGGGAAAATTTGATGGCATGGATTTAACATAAAAAACACTGTAAAACATATAATTGAGTCATTTATCCAATGTCAAGTCATTAAAAATGTTTATATATTCAATGTGCCTTGTGTTACTTCCTCAGGTCCTCTACATTGTGACGTTTTAATAAAACCAAAATTGAACAGCCCTGCTCTAATTTAATATGTTTCTGTAATCATATTTTGTTATGCATCTCATGCGATGGCCATACTACCCACAATTCTGCTTTAAATGGTGTCCCTGCTATGTGAAATGTTAAACTCAGCAAATAGAGGTATCAAAATAGTTGAAGCATTTGTACATACAGTGGGGAGAACAAGTATTTGATACACTGCCGATTTTGCAGGTTTTCCTACTTACAAAGCATGTAGAGGTCTGTAATTTTTATCATAGGTACACTTCAACTGTGAGAGACGGAATCTAAAACAAATATCCAGAAAATCACATTGTATGATTTTTAAGTAATTAATTTGCATTTTATTGCATGACATAAGTATTTGATACATAAGAAAAGCAGAATTTAATTTTTGGTACAGAAACCTTTGTTTGCAATCACAGAGATCATACGTTTCCTGTAGGTCTTGACCAGGTTTGCACACACTGCAGCAGGGATTTTGGCCCACTCCTCCAAACAGACCTTCTCTAGATCCTTCAGGTTTCGGGGCTGTCACTGGGCAATACGGACTTTCAGCTCCCTCCAAAGATGTTCTATTGGGTTCAGGTCTGGAGTCTGGCTAGGCCACTCCAGGACCTTGAGATGCTTCTTACGGAGCCACTCCTTAGTTGCCCTGGCTGTGTGTTTCGGGTCGTTGTCATGCTGGAAGACCCAGCCACGACCCATCTTCAATGCTCTCACTGAGGGAAGGAGGTTGTTGGCCAAGATCTTGCGATACATGGCCCCATCCATCCTCCCCTCAATACGGTGCAGTCGTCCTGTCCCCTTTGCAGAAAAGCATCCCCAAAGAATGATGTTTCCACCTCCATGCTTCACGGTTGGGATAGGGGCCGGGAGGGCCCCGGGGGGGAAAAAGGGGGGGGGAAAGCCCAAAAAAAAAAAAAAAAAAAGGGGGGGGGGGGGGGGGGGGGGGGGGGGGGGGGGGGGGGGTTTTTTTTGCGGAGAGAGGAACGGGCCGGGGGGAACTGAGCGCCCCCCCCACTGGGCGGGGGGGGGTCCCCGGGACCCCCCTGGGGGGGGAGTTAGGGCCGGGGACTGGGCTGCGCGACCCCGTGGGTTGGGTGCGGGAGCAGGAAGGCCGGGGGGGGGCGAGGCACCGACACTTGGTGGGGGGCGGAAAGGCCGGCCCGTAGGGGGGGAACACACCAGGGGGCCTTACCTGGGGGGTCTGGAAGGGGCCGGACCGGACAGGTAACACACCCCAGACTTGCCTCCCTCTAATCCCCATCCCCTCTTGACCAGTGGCCCCCGAAAACTGGGGGGCCCTCTCGGGGAACCCGTGGGCCGTCTAGCGGCCTCTGTGGCCGACGTCGTGAGCCCCCCCTAAAAAATTTCTGGGGGTCTTCCCCCCGGGGGCCGGCCCCCTCGTTCTCGCCGCTCTCCCCCCCACGCTCCAAAGCCCAACCTTCTCCTTCTCTTGTTTGGCCCGTCGAGATCCTACTCAACGCCCAAGCCCATTTTTTTTTCATGCTGTTTTGGTCCTGTTAGGTGGTTTCTTCCGTGTTAAGGAGGGAGAGGAAAAGGCCCCGCGTTGAAAGAAAACATTTTTATTTATTCAAGATCACACGATCAAAAAAACGAAACGGGCCCTTTGGTTCAAAAACAAACCAACAGGAACAAAAAAAACCAAACCAAAGTAAAAAGCCCGATAGTTAAATATGGCCCCCAATCAGAGAAAACCCCAGCTGTCACTCGTTGCCTCTGTTTGGGGATCACCACCCCAAACATAGAAAATCAAACATAGA